CATGTCACCAGGACCGCCTCCACGGTTATCCCCGTCTCCGGTGGCATTCCGCCGCCGCCACCAGTCACCGCCACCTCCGCCGCCTCCTCCACGACCACCGGGTCCACCAAATCCGCCGACCTTGCCTTGACCTCCATCGGCGCTACCGTAGCCGCCGTAGTCGTCGGCATAAAAATCATCGAAATTGTGCGGGTCATAAGGATTGTTTACACCCTTCAGCGGTGACTGGAAAATAAAAACTTAACGTTACTTACTCGAAGAGAATCGGCCTCTTGTACTATAAAGTCTCAAAATTTTTTAGTTTAGATCGATATGTCGTTAGCTATGCAAAAACGCCATAATAATGTAATATATTCAAACGCGGGATTTGATACAAATCATCCTTTTGTGCCCAACAAGAAAGATCAGCGTTTGTTCGCACGTGCGAAATGTAACGGTGTAGCTAGCAAAGATATATGGGGAAGCCATGATCTCGTGATATACTCACGGTCTTAATGGTGGCGATCAATTCACGTATGCATTCGATGCACGTCGTGGGTTTCCCACAGATGCTGATGAGGCGATCCGTGCTGCGGGGGCAGGTGTTCGAATAGATCTTGATTCTGGCTCCGGTTTTCTGAAACGGCAAAAGATATTTGGACGCGTTAGATGATGTCTAAGCGCTCAGAGATCGGGACAGAATCTGAGAAACTCTCCGCGTATGAATTTGCATTTGAAAAGACGACCGCCGGCTATGATCTTTCTTTATGGTCGGCAACTTGGAGAAACTAGCTAGATTACACTATTCTCAGGATAAAATCCGCGTTTCTCGACTTGAATGCAAACAGCATGTTTTCGCAAGCAGAAATTTGTCGTTTCTTTAAAAAAAAATCTTGAAATTTCTCATCCTGTGTATTTTTATCTCGTTTTTCTTTTCACCATTTTTATCTCGTTTTTCTTTTGACTGATAATCGCCGATGTAACAGAGCTAATAACTCGACTTCCGTGTGTGTGTGTGTGTGTGTGTGTGTGTGTGTATGTGTGTGTTGGATGATTCTTTTAATTACTCCGGTAACCATGAGTCACGATCGGGGTGTGATACTCCGTCTACTTGCTCGACAACTCTCACCCACCCCTGGTTAACGACTTAACGATGCTCGAATGTTTTCGTACCCGCTCTACTAATCCGCGGGCGCTCCGCTCTTTGCCGCGCGTGGTTTCTAAGTAATACCCCGGGACGACAATGGTCAGATCGCGTGCTGATAGCCGCTTAACAGTCTACCCGTACTTTCCGAGAGATCGCGATCACGCCACGTCGAGACGGCTAAGAGCAAAAGTACAACCGTGCGGTGGCACTTGAATTTTTCTTGAACCAGTTTGACCTGTCGTTTGCGTCGTAAAGATAAACCTGTACCTCTTTTTCAGCGCTTTTTCGGTGTACTATCATTTGAAAAACGGTTATAAGGATCATAAGATCTGACTCAAAGAAATCAGTGTGGCGAATTATTTCAATTCCGGATAAATTCGTTCGCATTAGAAATAGGTGAAGAACTCACTGATCCTTAGCGCTTAATCTGTGTCGCGAAAGTCTCACCGATTTCGTTTAAGAGCGCAAACTTTCGATGACGATGACATGACGCGGTTTACTCACCGTGGACGAAATGAAATGTTCTGAACGAGCAGTTTTGTGCATTAGTACGAGAATAGGAACGATGAACTTTGACAGACAGTGACGTATACAGAGTGGATGCGCAGGCGGAGGTGTAGCTTTGAGGTAGCGGCTAACGCAAAAACGAAAAATTGCCGATAACATCGACAGCCGTGTGCTCAAACGCGAAATATTCAAAACAGATAACAATCTAGCTCCATTCGTATATGTACACGTGCGCACCGTGTCCGGCAACCATGGCATTGTGCAGAGAAATCGCGCCGTTTAATTACGCAGATCAAAGCAACTCGCTCCCTCCCTCCCCTCCGCCCCCTCCCCTAAACCCCGCCAGCTCACGTACAGGTCCATTCAAACGCTTTCGATGCAGACAGGCCCCCCCCGCCCTTCCCCCGATGATATTGAGACCCGCACGCATTTGGTATCTGGCTACAGTGTTAATTCCAACATGACAGAATCGAAGGGTACATACAAAAAGAGAAGAAGGGGAAGAAGAAGGGGAGAAACGCGCAGAGGCGATTTATATACTTCAAAAATTTAATCGACTCGATTTTTCACACCGCGAGAAATTGCGCGATTTTTTTTTTCAAAGGGTAATACAAGTCAAGACAGCGCGTTACTACGGACGCAACGAAAAAAAAAAAAAAAAAAAAAAATAGATCCGATGAGCCGTAGCGAATAAGTGACGAACAGGCAATATCACTCGTAGATACCTGTATAATTGGCCAATGGAATTTATAAACGGGGAACGAACCGAGAAATAAAAGCTTTGTGTGTCGCATTGTATGACTAGTCATCCGGTTCGAATGTCGGTTTGAAAGAAAAATCGATGGAACGCCGTCGCACACCGGTGTTTGCATGACACGCGCCCGAGTGAAAAGGGGGAGGGGGAGGGAGAGAGAGAGAGAGAGAGAGAGAAGATAAATGTAATTTTAATTGAATTAATTAATTCTGTTGATACGACCAGCCGAATCAATCTCGATAGAAACGAAAATGAGCGCGGATTCTTACACGCGACAGTTTTAGATTGACAAGGATTGTTGTTACAGCCGGCATTATCTGTCTGACATTTCATTTCGCATTCATCCGAGCTTGCAACAGTGTATCGTTAATCAAGTGTTTCATTGAAAATCGAACGTATCGGCCGCGATCTCGCCCTGAAACAAGTGCGTTTCGTTTTATTTATTTCGTAATATCAAAGTGAGATTTATCGCGGGGGTAGGAGCTGGAACTTTGATAATTAATCGAAGAAGCTCGCTGTAGAGGGAGAGAACAAAAAGGTAAAGATGAAAGCTTGTAGTAGCGCTCCTTGACTAGCGTTTCTCGCGAGGAGGGCAGGTGGAGGAGAGAATACTCGAAAGAAACTTCCGTTCTCTTGCCTGGACTTTCCATCCTCTTCGACATCCGATATCGGTAAACTTAAAGAGAACAGCGCGGATCGATCGTTCTTTGAAGGAACCAGTTTGCCGTCAATAGCAGCGTGAAATGTGTATGAAGCAGAGAATGTACGCCGCGAGATTTCGCGAGGAAGCGAGATTAATTTTGATCGCAAATGTTGAGCGCGATATGACGATGCACACCTTACGAAGTAGTTTTGCGACACAATACGTTCCTCAAATGTCCCGCCGTGCACCGTCGTCGCTGCACGGATTTTTAATTTTCCGCAAAGTTCCCGAACTCTTGCTTTGAAACTTTGAGCGATCGCGGAGTTTCTACCCCCTCCCCCTTCGGGAGTGAAAATTTTCTTGAATATTCAAGAGACGATGAAGATAATTAATTCTCCCTCTCAAGTCTCAAGGTCGCGAACTTGAAACAATACTGTCACCCTTGCAAGAAAGAATATGCACGCGTAGGAAACACGCTAGGTAATCCTCAGAGAGAGACCGAAGACTTCTATTTATACCACTGCTCATTCGCGTTCGTCATTTCACGATTACGTTACCGCCACGAGACGCTATTACACACGTAAAGACGTTTGTATTAGAAAATTAAGGTAGCTGTAATGTGCTTATGGTAATTCGACGCAAACATCCGCAGGACTTCAAAGTCCAATCCGGCGAACTGGGAAGATAACCGTACGAGAGCGGTTTCGCGAAAACGGAACCGTACTGCGCAACCGAATTCGCGTTTGCTTAACAGTACTCCGCAGTACGGCGGCATCCGTAGCAAAAGTTTACAAACTTCCACGGCATTACTGCCGGCGTCATGCACTAATCTAAACGTGAATCGTGCTATTCAATTCGACGCGAAGGAAGTTCCGTCCCGCCGCAAGTTCCGCGCTGACAAACCTCCTTTAGCTAAACCGCAATATCGTGATCGCATATCAATATTGTAGCGATTTTAAGTGGATAAATAATAAACAAAATGGCGAAAATGTCCGTTATCGCTCGACACTAATTCAGAGTGACATCTGTCTTCTATCGAATATTTATTTTAATAAGAATTTTGAATCGTACGTATATTATAGCTATGTTTCCACATTTTGTTTTGTTGACACATTAGTCCGAATTTTCGGATTCTCTTTATTTCCTGACCTTTAGTTCCACATCCGTTTCTTGACATCCGCGAGCAATTTTCAGTAGTAGTCAATCGATTGTCTCAGACAGAGAACATTTAACGAAGATTTAAAATCCATGCCGATATCTGGAGGTGAATTAAAGATTTTGTGAAAATTTTGCGAAAAATGTGCGTAATTATAGTGATCTTTAAAATGAAAAGTGTGAAAAGTGATCTTTAAAATATGTACAAGACAGACGATGAAAGACGATGATATGGACGATATCGATATTGAAAAAATTAGATTTTCGCAAATTTTTATCAATTAATTTAATCTACATCGCCATCGATACTTTTCAGATACAACGATACGATTCCATTTAACGTGCGTGGCTTTATTCTGCAAATCATCGTTGGCCGAGTACCACGCATGCATTTTCATGAGATCGTAGTTCATGGAGACGTGAAATCTACTCGCATTCGCGACACATCGTTCGTGAGGAAAGATAGTGATCCGCTTAGCCGTCTCGACTCGCCACTGATCCTGCCAGAGTAACTGTGAATAACTCCGAAATAAAACACACGAAAAAAAAAAAAAATAAAAATAAACGGCCCATTGTCACAAGAACTGATTCTCGAAATACTCTCCGTTTCTTTCGAATCCAGGTGAGGAGCTACGACATAAGAATCCCGTGACCTATGTAAATGTCAAAAAGTCGTCGCGGACGATCGGGATAAGCGAAGCGACGTACGCGTTTTACAAATCGACCTATCTGGCTATCACCAAAGTACAACAGATCTTCCGAGTCTTCTGGACTTCTTCAGCGTGTATTCCCGACGTGCGTATTTAGATCAACAGATTAAAATTTACATTTCCCATGCCGAACCGGTCGATGAATATAGACCGCTGTGCGATAATCGGAAATCTCACGTCTTGCGTGATCCCTCACGTATGGCGGCATCTCGCATACGCGGACTTAAAAAAGCGGTAAAAGATCGATTAAATATTAACAACGCGCGGTGAAATGTCATCGCGCGGATCCTAACGTCAGTCGAAATTGAATCAAGACGCGAGGAAGGTCGTAATATAAATAAGACATCAACCACTCGATATCGCGCGCCCACACGCGTTTCTCGTCGGAAGTGTCGGGAAAGAAAAAAAAACCTCGGAGGGAAAGAGAATTCATCGCAAACTGTGTGCATATGAATGTGTGATAGGCCGCGAGAGACTCGCTTTCGCCGAAGACATTCGCGCCGAGGAGAAATGAAAGGAAAGCAGCAGCGTGGAGTTCCGGAGCAGTGACTCTGAAACGTGCGAAATACCGAGGACGCGACGAAACGCGTCACCCGTCGTCGTGTCATCGTCGCGTCTTCGTTTATAGCCTGTTTTGCGATTCGCGACCGTGATCAGATCAAAATAAACCGATACTTCGTGTCCAAAGGTGACGACAACGACGAAGATAAACTTTTAAGAATCTCCGCGAGGCGATCCAATCGCTGTAAAATCATAAGATCGTCCTTGTCTTATCTCAAGCTTTTTCATAAGACGATCATTTTTTTCTTCTTAGCGCACCATGACGAACCTCTACACGATCGACGAAGTCGGCCGTCACAATAACGACAAGGACCTATGGATCGTGATACACAATATGATTTACGACGTCACGTCGTTTCTGCAACAACATCCTGGCGGCGATGAGGTGCTGCTGAAATTAGCGGGGAAAGATGCTACAGAATGCTTCGAGAGTGTCGGCCACAGTCACGAGGCTATTAACCTTCGCGAGGATTTCAAAATTGGAGAGTTAATCGATGCAAATAACGCCGATACATTGAAGACAGATCGGCAGAAAACGTATGAACAAAAGGTAGATCAGCAGAAGATCGCAGATCGACAGAAGGTAGATCAACAGAGGACGGATCTTCTTCAAGAGATAAAAACGAAGGAAAATCAAACGAAAGCAGGTTTGATAATTCGTCCCTTTTCTCGATCATTTGTCCAATATTAGAATCGCCAGGGAGTTAATAAACGCTTGAATTTATAGTCTTATATTTTTAACATGTTTATATTTTACATTTGCAGTAGCTTGACACGTTTTTTGCATCAAGTTTTTTATTTCCAACATTTATTTTACGTCATCGGCAAATCTAGAAATTAATAAATCTATAAATTATTTGCCTTTTAATATTACTACTCTTTTAAAAAATTTTTATTTTCTTCTTTATTTATAGAGATAAAACAATTACTGAAGAATGATGATTGGCCGTATGAAGAACCACAGAATGAAACATCGAAATGGTTTTGGTTATTTGTTATCAGTGCTAGTATAATAATTAACGCTATAATAATTTACTACTTACGAAATTCAATATTATAGATGATTCACGTATGCTTTAAAGCGATTAATTTAAAAAACGCTAAAATTTGCAAGATGTTATAATTTTCAAAAATATTAAGTTTTATTTCTCCTGTTCGTTAAATCTTTTAAGTAATTTAGTATCTTCGATGTAAATCTATTCTCGTTTAAATCATTATTTTATCAGACATGTATTTAATTTAAAAATTTATTATTCGTTATATAAAGATAAGAATATAAGTTCAATGAGTATTTTTTTGTTTTACTTTCTTTTCTTAAATGATAGTGATAGTAAGATAAATTCTATATTTATTGTCTTGTAATTATTGCGGCTAATTTTATTGTTATATGTAATGTGTAATAAAACGTTCACTATAAAAAAAAACTTTCGGAAAGAAATAACTTGATAGAGGTCTAGCTAATTTATGTAATTTTGGATATCCAATTTTGACACACACTTTATACACGCGATTTCAATTTTATTTCACCGGAAACGAGACATCACAAGGGAAAGTCATGTTTCAAAAATGGATCATATGCCATTCACGATAATTTAAATGCAAAAAAACCGTCATCTCGGGCAAACAGCCGAAATTATGAAATAGACGAGAACAAAATATTTCTGTCTATAAACAATATACAAATTATCGGGTATTTTGTATCGTCATTCGCTGCTATCAACTTTTGTTATTACAAAACATTGTTAAAAAAAAGAAATATATCATTTTATACGCAATATATTTATATAATGTATAAGGTCTTTTAAAGTTCACGTCCACAAAATGGTCAGCACGAATTTCTGCATCAGAAGAAGCAAATCCTTTTTCTACAAATAATTGCATAACTGACATCACTATAATGTATGTTCTGTGTATATGTGTTCTGT